CCAGGAGCCCCATCGACCCCCCCCCCTCCCCTGAGCAGCTTTCTCGCGCCGCCTAAATCTCAAGCAGGGGAGGGAAACCAAAGCCCTGCCCCCGCCAGTGCCGCACTGGCTTCGCCCAACGGGCGCCCTCCGGCGACGGCGAGGAGGAGTTGAGGGTTGGTGGCGGAGCAAGGGCTACCGTGACGAGAGCACGGGGTGCATCCCGGGAGCAAGATGATTTCTTTTTAGCACAAGCGGTTCTCTTTTACGACAGGTTGCGGTCGCCGCCGTCTCCCGATCTGCATCGATGACTTTCTAGCCTTTTGGGTTTCGATGCTCGGGAGGGGGGGGGCATCAAGGTATGTTCATGGCACATTGTCGACAGGTGCAGGAGGAAGAAGGCTTCAGCACCCCCAAAGCTTTGATTTTGGTTTTATTTAGATTTTTATGAATGTGTTTGTAAGGTCTTGCGAATTATATGAGAAGCATTTGTCTACCTGATGCCGAATTGCTGTTCTCAGAGAGTTGATGCAATAGCAATAGCAATGTGCAGGCCACTGATTGATCACGCAGCAGTCGCACCAATTCTCTGCGCTTGAAAAAATAATTATTTGTTTCTTATAGCATCAAAAAGAATATTTCTTTACGGTTTGCCTAATTCATATCTAGATGTTTTTTAAAAATGTCACATCTAACCTTCTACAAATATATAATGAGCAACAGAAAACAAAAAAAAAATAGAACAAAAATAAACAAACCACAAACAGAGATGTGTCCTAGACAGATCCATTTCTTTATTCAAACGTTAAACATAAGCGGATAAACAAACAAACACCAGCGGCAAGCTAGACAACAAACAGGCTAAACAGCAAGCCAGCCCGCTCCTCCTCGCTGTCACGCCGGGCCACCACCCGCCGTCCTCGTCACCCGTCGTCCTTCCAGAACCGCCGGTTGGCCCTATAAGACTCTTCACTCCCAGTGCGGCCCTCACCACAAGCTCACAGAAGCCGCCCATCTTGCTCAGTTCCAGCTCAGGCGAGCAGCGACCACCTTCCGGCGAGGGCAGCAGCGATGGAGGGCAAGGAGGAGGACGTGCGGCTCGGGGCGAACAAGTACTCGGAGCGGCAGCCCATCGGCACGGCGGCGCAGGGGTCCGAGGACAAGGACTACAAGGAGCCCCCGCCGGCGCCGCTGTTCGAGCCCGGCGAGCTCAAGTCCTGGTCCTTCTACCGCGCCGGCATCGCCGAGTTCATGGCCACCTTCCTCTTCCTCTACGTCACCATCCTCACCGTGATGGGCTACAGCGGCGCCACCTCCAAGTGCGCCAGCGTCGGCATCCAGGGCATCGCCTGGTCCTTCGGCGGCATGATCTTCGCCCTCGTCTACTGCACCGCCGGCATCTCCGGTACCGCTTCTTCCTTGCTCTCCGCTTCGTTCTTGTAGCTTCCTACAGTATGTGGTGCTAACTGGTAAGGGATGGATGGGTGCAGGCGGGCACATCAACCCGGCGGTGACCTTCGGGCTGTTCCTGGCGAGGAAGCTGTCGCTGACCCGGGCGGTGTTCTACATCATCATGCAGTGCCTGGGCGCCATCTGCGGCGCCGGCGTGGTGAAGGGGTTCCAGCAGGGCCTGTACATGGGCAACGGCGGCGGCGCCAACGTGGTGGCGCCCGGCTACACCAAGGGCTCCGGCCTCGGCGCCGAGATCATCGGCACCTTCGTCCTCGTCTACACCGTCTTCTCCGCCACCGACGCCAAGAGGAACGCCAGGGACTCCCACGTTCCCGTGAGTGCCTACCATCACCGCCGCTCTGTTCTTCCCCCTGTTGAATTTCCTTACCGTGCTTACTTAAAACTTAATGGTGTGTGCAACGTCGACAGATCCTCGCCCCGCTGCCCATCGGGTTCGCCGTGTTCCTGGTGCACCTGGCCACCATCCCCATCACCGGCACCGGCATCAACCCGGCGAGGAGCCTCGGCGCGGCCATCATCTACAACAGGGAGCACGCCTGGTCAGACCACGTGAGTGAACCCAAACTGAAACCTAACACCCCTCCTTTCCTTTGTCTGAACTTGAAAGCATGGCACTTGCATGCTTGTTTTCTGCAGCAGTAGTAACTGCAGCCTGCAGGCATGTGGTAGCAGTAGTATTCAGTAACTTAAAGCTGATGCAGACGCATAGCTACTCTCTATTGCACACCTAATTAACCGATGTGAAATTGGAAAGCTTATTAATCTGGTGAACTGATGTGGCAGTAACTGCAATAATTGAGCAGTTATAGCTGATGATAGTAGTGTATCATCTGCTAGTTATTCAAATGTGGAAAGCCTACCCTGATCTCAAGGGAAATGCCGAGAGACTTGCCTCGGTGTAGCACGCAACCGCTGCCTTCTGGTAGTAGGACAGTGACTTGAGTGTCCATTATAGATTATTATCTGGGAAATTGTTTGGCATTGCTGTGCTTATAGTAGTAATAAGGGCTGACATATCCATCAAATTTTCGCGTCTGCAGTGGATCTTCTGGGTCGGCCCCTTCATCGGCGCCGCGCTGGCTGCCGTCTACCACCAGGTGGTCATCAGAGCGATCCCGTTCAAGACCAAGTCCTAAGCAGCTGTTCTTCCTGCTACAAAGAAGATGCCAACCCAACCCGAAGAGCAAGCTGCGTGTTCTGAATTTCTGATGGGGCGGCTATATATCTCTTCCCGTCATCCGTGTTACTGTGGAATTCCAATTTGTCTTCCAAGTTTGATGTACTCTGTATTCACCTGAACCTGGACCCAGACTTGTATGTAATCTCATCAGTACTCAGTTGTGTGTGCTGCCCGTTATTGTCAAATCGAGCCAAGTTGTTTACGTGCCCTCTTGTTAGAGCTCAGCTCAGCTGCTATCTTTCTGCAATTCAGTAGTACAAGATGAGGAGTTTGCTGTCCGAGCCGTTGCTCAGCTGGCTGCTGCTGCGTGCTACGCTGTGCATGCAGATGCAGCATATGCTACCTGTCAGGCCGTGGCTGAAGCTACGGCTTTGGTCACAGGCTAGAGTGATGGGGGCAAAGGACAATGATGAGCGGAGCCACCGCCGGTTGGCAACTAGCGGCGTGGGGCGTGGCGTGGCTGCCGCTCTGGTCCTGTAGTATAAGTACGTACTGGTAACGCTACACTGCAAACAGACAAGCTCTACACCGTGGCAGTTGCCGTGCTCTGGCCGTTTGTTTCTCTGCTGTCTAGCCGCGAACGGTACACAGGGGTTGCCAGCCGGTGCAACCAAGTGGAAGATGCGGGTACACGAAGCAAAGGAAAACGTACGGGAAAGGGTGGTGAATTGTGGCCAAATTCAGTGTTGTTTTGACCCTTTTTGGAAATTTTAGCGGGATCTGACCATGTTTAATATAAAAATTACAGGATCTGGTTCAAACCCTACCGCGTCTGCGGCGGGGGTGACGGCATAGACGGCAGGCGTTTAGCTGCACAGGCGTGGATACAATTCCTAGCGTCAGGGTCCCTAACGGTAGGTTGTTACACTCTACCGCCATCGACCCCGACGGTAGGAAAAGGGGTTAGATCCCCAAATTTTATCAAACCAGGGCCATATCTTGCTCAATTCGCAAAATAGTTTGTCTAATTCACATCTAGATGTTTTTTAAGGATGTCACATCTAACCTCCCACAAATAAGGCAGCAAGAAGGAACAAAAAAAAAAGCTAAGACAAAAAAAATAGACCACAAACATAGTGAAGATCAGGTTAGATATGACATAACTATGTTACATCTAGATGTGTCCTAGATAGACCCTTCGCAAAAACCAAAAAAGTCAAAACAGCAAGTTTACCGGTCTGTACTTTTTTTTTAGAAACACCAGACAGACTGGCGATGGTGAAAACTCGGCGCTCACCTCTATGAGCCCTGATGGACACCACGCCAGCTCGAAAGGTGCTGACGCTGTCGGGCCGATCTGAGCAACGGTAGATCGCCAGGACAGACGGTGGCCTTTGTTACCGTGCGAGGGAGGCAACTGGACATGGACGGATGGCATGCCAAGACATAATAATGCATAGTTGCATACTGCCAAACTGAGCTGACTAGGAGCACACCGAATCCTGGCGACAAGCAGACGCAACGATGCAAGCACCCAACCCAGCGCACCACCTTTCGCACGGCATACGGGTGAATTGATGCGGTTGGTGTGGCTCACTACATGGCAACATGCAGGCAGAATGCATATGGAACTTGGAGGAATACATACGGCTACCGGCAGTAACGCAGACAAGTTGTATATATACCGATTCAATATGAACAACTGGACGGGCATGGTACATCTGAATGAGAAATTATACATATCGGGAGAGCTAATTTAATTAGGGACCATGCTCTTTGTACGAGTTTCCATGGTAACTTGCAGCCGTCGCTTCACAACCTCGGGTAGCTGTTAAAAGAATTTGGCTCAACTGTTTCTCCTGTGCAAAATATTGGTTGGCTTTTACTTGAGATTACTTCTGTACAAATGGCATCAGGACGCCAAGAAGGGCAATTAACATGTAGAGGCAGGGAGGTGGCCAACTGCTCTGGCTTCTTCAGTCTCCTAGTATACAGTCTTGTCATTTCGACGCATGTTGTTAGCACGCCAGTAGTAGTAGTATGCAAACACCCAGTTGTTCCGCCTAACAGGGATGGATGGATGGATGGATGGCCTGCGATATAAAGAGCAAAATTAGTAAGAATCAAGACAAGCTTCAGTGTCCCGAAAGTAAGTGCGATGCTTGAAGAAGTAAAGGCTCAAGTGTGGATTTTCCAGTTCATATATTTACGGATGCTCATGACTTACCACATAACGCTGGGAAATGACGGGGCACTAAAACAAGTCATTAATCATTAGGGGCTGGCATCTCATAAGTAAGAATATTAGAGAGGAAATTGTGTATTTATGTCTTCATCGTGCATCCTAACTCTATAGTTCCACAAGCTCAGGAGAACATTTTGAGCCATGTTCAGTTAGCCGCTAGCATGGTAATAAACCAGTTGTGCATTTAGTTGTGAGTGCTAGAAAATGCGGCACACAACATTGAAGGTGCAAAAGATCCTGGCTTCATGTAATTGAACGCAGGCGGTCAACTAAAAACTGTAAGATCGTGACATACCTTTGTCTATCTGTGGGGATGACAACAAAGACTCCATCCATCTACAGTTGTTAGCTTCAAAATAAATCAATGATATTTCCCATAGTCATATTATATTATGATACAATTCAAGCCACTGACTGGCCAAAGCAGCTGAAAACCACTTAGTTACCCTGCCAAGCTCCAAAAAAATTCGCTTGGCCTATCCTTGATAGTTAGTTATCACGCTTGAGTCCATGGTGGGGAGAACCAGTTGTTAAGTCTAGTGAAGGATTTGGCTTCACATGATCCACCAAGGCAGGACGAGTGAAATGTTCAGAAGGGGACAGTCTATCACGCAAATCAAAAACGTTTCCAAGCCTCTTTCCAAATTGAGGGCTCAGAATGTTAGCTTCAGATACTATCCTCTCCTGATTCCCCTGTGAGACTTGATGCACTCGACCAAACTGCCCAAGGTTACGATCTGTAGGCCGGTTGGGGAAGTGATCATCTGGGCCTCTTGATGCGATTGCAAATCTTCATTGTTGTAGGTTGGTTGCTTTGAATGATTAAAGGGAATAGCACCATTACCACCAGACAGGGGAGTAGAAGCGCCTGAAAGGGTTCTGGGGCTTGAAATTGGAGATGGTGACATTCGGCCATTTGTATGTTGGGGAGACCTTGACCTTAGCAGAGGACTTCCACATGGAGAAACTGGACAGGATATATTGCTCCGTATATGGATATCGCTGCAAAGTAAACAACAATATGAGGTTCCATGCAAAAGATAAACAAAGTTCACCAGAAATCAATTTCCTAGTAAGCATGAGGTTAGCTGTAGAAAACTGCACTAAAAGGAGGGCACCTAGGCACTAGGCACTCCCCTCCTGTCTGTCCAGCACACCTAGGCGCCTGCTTAATGAATAGTCCACATGTAGGGAAAGCGGATTTTTGGAGGACGGGTGCATTGGAGCACTTTATTTTGAATAGTTCAAAAATTACATTTTAAAGTTACAAAATTTTCCGAAAACAATCTACATGTTCATATGGATGTATACTACATATGTGTAAATTTTGGTGATGAAATAAGTAAGCATGTACACAGAATGTCAAAATGGTGATTTCTAAATAGTGAACAGTATATGCCCTGTTCATCTTTCCAAAGTCGCAATTGTCATTTTTGTGTGGCTAGCATGGTTACTTATTTCAACACATAAATTTGCACATGTGTACATCCATATGAACATGTAAAACTTTTTCCAGGTTTTTTTAATCAAAATACCATTTTGGAACTATTCAAAATATAGCGCTCACTGGAGCACGTGCACCAAAGTGGTTTTTTGACATTTAGGGTGCGACCCTGCCACCTATAACCTTTTAGGATATAGGCAGTAGAAAACTGTATGATGTCTGGTGGTACAAAGAAGTTCCAGGTAGGATGGCTTTAATTTGCATAGCTAACGCTTTAGTTATGGGTTACTGGCTTACTGCAAAAATGTTTGGACGACAGTGTGTGTTTCTGAAGTAAATAAGCAGAACTTGGGAAATGTTGTACCTATGCTTCGAAGAATATTTTGCACCCCTCCTCTGGTAAATTGTCTGACCCTCCAATCCCAATGACGAGATATTTGTTGTATGTCCAGCCACCTAAAAGATCAGTAGAAGCCTAGCAAAGTGAGAAGACCACGAGAATGACAAAAGTAGACACCGAGTCATCCCCGATATGTCAGTTACAAAGAAGTACTGTTACCTTAGAATTCGGTCTACAAGATATCACGGGCAAATGTTCCAAAGGATCAGACATAACGGATTTCTCAAGTCGGACTTTATATTGTATGAACGGGTGTTGCAAAAGCTCCATTGCTGTCGGCCGTTGAGAAGGATCACGCTGCAGACACTTTCTGATGAAGTCCTTGCACTGCTCTGATAGGTGATCTGGTATTGGTGGAAGTTCCTTGCTATTTCCAATCTTGAACATTGCAGCAATCTGTTGGTGAGAAAAGCGGGGAAATATTTGATGATTACTTACTTATCATGACCAACCAAAAATGGAAGCCTTACCATCTCAATGTTCCATAAAATTGCATGCAAGTAAATGTGTTTTTGGAGTTTCCACATCAAGACAGTCATAAGTTCTTAAACAACCAAGGAAAATAAAGGTGTCATATCCATTCATCTGTTGTGGACAAAATTATATTTATCTGCCCAGTTTATTTTCTTTTTCAGCATCTTTTGTCATATGTTCCCAGTTTAAAGGATTAGTTATGTTGGGTAAAACTCTGAAGGCTGAGCTCTTTGCCTATCTCCTAGTATCAGTGTAACAGAAACGGGTAGCTGGTTCACTTGTGTTGGTAACTGGCAGAGTTTCAGGAAGGAAGCAGTCTGCAGCAATTTTCCATGTTTTATATATAATTTTACAGAAACGGCTTGTTATCTGGCAGAAGGTGCGAAAACCAGACAATATGTGCAGGAAATGGTTAACATACTACACCTGTCACAGTACTAGTATTTGGTAGTTTATTTGAGAAAGGTTATTTCACTGACATGTATGCACATCACTCCAGACAGCTTGCTCATTCTAAG